CTCCCTCTCCCTCTCCTCCCCCCGGGCCTCCCTCTTCCCCCCTTCCTCCCGCCAAGCACCGACAGTCTCGAGGGGCCAGCCGCTGGAAGGGGCAAGCCAGCGGCACGAGGGCTTCAGCCACACAACTACCATGGGAACGTGACCCACACAAAGCACCAAAGTTAGGCATACCCCCCGGCGCAGTGTCCCCCGCTATGTGTCGCCGTTTGTCGGGGCACGCTATCCTGTGTAGTCAGGGCAAGTGGGGGCGGGGTGGACAGCCCAGGCCAGATGCCCTGGGATCTCTCTGCCCAGTCCGGGGGTGCGTCGAACCTTCCATCACCCTGTCGGAAGCGGCGTGCCGGTGGAGGCACGTCCGGGTTTTGGAAGTAAAGATATATTACTTTTTTTCCATCGGTCTCGCGCCTATATGTGTTCCGCCTCAGAGCGTCGGAGCAGTGAATGTGTCCACACCGTGTTGGCCGTGTACGGCGCTCGTTTACGGAGCCGCATCTATAACTTGTGTGCATGGTCTGAGACTTCTCTCTCCAGTCTACGAAGAGATTAGGTTTAGGAGCAGCAGGATCCAGGAACCCGAGGGACCATGTGGAAGACGGAGCTAGTGCTAGTCCCCCATCGGGAGGACGACCCCGGCTAGTCGCCGACCACACGCCCACAAAGAACCCTGCACAAAGATCGCACGGGCGGGGACCTGTTCCTTTTACCCATCTCACAGTAGAGGTGTCCGTTTTTATTTATTGTTTTTATTTATTTATTTATCTCTCCAGTCTCCAGAGCGGCCGATGATAAGTATGGTTGGTGGCCCGAAGGGCGATTCATAGATTTGCCCGAAGGGCGTCACCCTGCCCGTGTGCTCGTGGCGTTTGGCCAGCGAGCTCGCGGGACAGGGGGGGTGTTGGGGACCCCGCCGCAAACCCCGTGCACCACCCCCCCTGTCCCTCGGAGGTGTGTGTGTCCCAGGCAGGCAGGCAGGCAGGCAGGCCGGCAGGCAGGCAGGCAGGCAGGCTGGCTGGCAGGCAGGCTGGCAGCAGCTGCTGGCAGGCAGCATGGCAGGCTCTCCGCTCGTCGGCTGCGGGCAGCGCCTGCGCGCGATGGTCGTGCGAGTCGCGCGGCCGCGAAGGTGCCGCGCGCGCGTGTGCCTCGGCTCGCCCACCTCGTGCTGCCAGCAGTGCCAGCAGCAGGCAAATGGGCGCTGCAGGTGTTGTGGGGGTGTTGCCCCGGCAGCGCGCCGGCTGCACTGGGCCGCAGCCGCAGGCCGGCGCCATTGGCGCCAGCCTTTGGCGCTGTCGGCCAATGTTGCACGCCGCGGAGGGACGTACGTGCAAACTTTTTGATGCGCGCGCCGACCGCGCCTTCCGGCGGGTCGGGCGCGCTGCGAGCGAGCGCTGGTAGGCGCTGGGTGGCGCGGGGGGCGGCGGGATTCCCCGCGCCATGCGAGCTGTGTCGTCTCAACGCTGTTGCGAAAACGGAGAAAAGAAAAACGTATTCCTATTGCGTAGACGAGCACGAATGCGAGACAAAACCGAAACAGAGAGGCAGATCTGCACCTTGCACCTTCCTTCCCCCCCTTCCACAGACATTAGACAATTTCTCACATCACCAAATGCTGCTGGATGATTGCCGCCTTGAGCAGCCGCTGCACCCCGAGCACCGCGCGCGAGGCCAGCGCCAGGGGCGGCTGCTCGCCCCCCTCCGCGCCGCCGCCCGAGCTCGCCTTGAGCTCCTCCGCCAGCAAGCCCGCGCTGCGCCGCAGCGCGAGCAGATCGTCCATCGAGCAGCGCAGCGCCGGCCCGTCGCCGTGTAGCCACGCGTAGTGCGCCGCGTCCGCGCCGAGTGCGTGCCTCGCCACCAGCGCGCTCACCGACGCGTCGACGTGCGCGACAAACTCGTTCGGCGGCGGGCCGCCCTCCCCGCCCGGCCGCCCGTCCGCCTCTGCCAGCGAGCACGCGAGCCGTAGCTTCCTGGCCGCCTCGCCGGCCAGCACCTAGTCAGCCGCACGGGCGAGCTCCTAGACACTTCCTATTCCTAGACACTTCCTAGACACTTCCTAGACACTTCCTAGAGGGTGCAGGGAGGGTGCAGGGAAGGTGCAGGGAGGGTGCAGGGAGGGTGTGTAGGAAGGATGTGTAGGAAGGGTGCGCAAGAGGGGTCTCTAGGTGTCACGCACCGGCCCGCTCGGCGCCGCCCGGCCGCGAGGGAGGGAGGCGGGGGCCGGGCGCCCCGCGTCGGCAGCCGCGTCGGCGGCCTCGCCGAGCGCGCCGCGCGCCCTTGCCAGGAGGCGCTCGAACAGCGACTCGGCTGGCGCCTAATGAACGAACGAATTAACTATTAATTAACTACGACTGAGTAATTAGCTCGAGCAGCGACTCGGCTGGCGCCGCGCCGTCGCTGCCCGCTCGGCCGCCGGCAGCGGGTGCCCACTTTCCGAGCGCGGGTTGCCGATGCGAGCAAGCAGCGCCTTTTGGGGGAAGTGGAGGAGAAGGGGGGGAGGGGGGGGGGG